GGAAGTCGGCCTCTCGGCCGAGACGAGGCGCGCACCTGCCGCCTGCCCCCCTGGGCGCGAGCGGGGCCCAGCGAGCTGCCACGGTCCTGTACCTTCTTCTCTTGCCCTTCCGGCGAGTCGGGGATGAAGCTGATGTTGATCTCCTCCACGTCGGAGCTGCTGGAGCCGGCCGAGGTGACACTGACGGAGTCGGCCGCATCCCCGCTGCAGACGTACGGCCCGCACTTCAGCTGGTCAAAGGACTTGGAGTGGGAGCTGCCGCTGGCGCAGGACTCCGTGGTGGGAGCCTGCCGGCTGCCGGGGGGGGGGGGGGATTGGGGGGGGGGAAAGGCAAACCAGATCGTGGGCTAGGCTGCCAGACCGCCGCTGCTTAAGACAACGCATTTGAATCCTACCCCCCACTGCCCATGGACCGTTTTTAGGGATTTGGGCATTTACCCTCCCTCCACTTTGAACCTTGTTTTGCCTCCCCCCCCCCTCGAAGGAGGAGAATGACACTCCTTGGTTTTGTAAAAGACAAAGGAAACGTCTTGGAAAACAGGAAGCATGTTTCCCAAACAGGAAGTGACACTGATTCTGGTTTTGTTTCTACGGCGGCAGTTGGGAGGTCCCGGGATTGGAAAAGGGACTCTGGCGCTTGTCCTGCCCAACTGTGTTGTGTATCTGGCTGTGGAGCCAGAGGGTTGGGAGTTCGATTCCCCCCACTGGGCCTCCTTGGTGGGGGCTGGACTGGATGATCTTATAGGGTCCCTTCCAGCTCCGCATGCTCAGTCCCCTGAGCCACCCATGTCTCTGGCAACGGAGGGGCTCGGCCCTTCCTAAAGCAGCCTCTTCCACTCTTGAACCACCGGCACTCTTAGGGGGCTTCTCCAGTTCCAGCAGATCGGATTCAGAGTCCAACCCAGTTTCATACCTCTCTCCGATGCGCTCCCTCCGCCCGGGACACCCCCCCCTCAAGGCCGTGATCCAGTTCTAACTCCTCCCTTTCAATTCGCAGCCCGTTTTGTTCCGAATGCTGAATGTGGAACCTGCCACCCCAAAACCAAGGAACTTACTCGCTCCAGCGCTTGATGATCCCTGTGTTCTTCTTTGCCCTCAGCGTGTTGCTGGCCGATTCGGACAGGGGTTCGATCTCGCACGAAAGCCCGTAGCTGGAAACAAGGAGGGAGAGAAACAGAGTTAGCCACCACCGCCTCCTCCTCCCAAGGGCTGTCCTGCTGACGTGGCGCCGATGCCTTTAGGACGGCCTGCGTGAATGTGGGAGGGCCATGCTAACTCCAGCCTCCTTGGGCCCCAGTCCCACTTCTTTGGGGCCCCTGCTTCCCCCCCCCATGAGCGATCTGGTGCTCTCCCCAAACTGCCTTCTTCTACGAGTCTGTGTCCCATTGCCAGATAAAGGCTCACCCCTTCCATCTATGAAGAACCAAACCTGGTGGATCCCCTATAAAATCCACACTCCGAGTCTTGGTCCTCCTTTTTCTTCTGTCTTAACAAGCCAAGTTTCTGGCCCTCAAGACAAATGGCAGTGAAGCCGAGACAGGAACACGTCTTCCGAAAGCAACCCAGCCAAACCCAGAGCGAAAGGGGTCTGGGGGGTTTGAGGGCGAGGAAGGCGATCGAGGCACGCAACTCAGGAGGCCAGGGGAGGAGAATCGAGGCATACCTCTCCACCTCACTGAGCCGCTCCACGCTGTGGAACCAGGCCACAAAGCGATCTTCCTGCGTGAAGCTGTAGTTGTTGCAGGCCGACTGCAGCAGTTTGATTTGAGCAATGACTTCAAATTCCTGCAGGAAGAAGAGTGGAAGGAAGGTTGCCACGAATCTGATAACGCTGGTTTTATTCCTTTGGCGGGTTCCGTTTGCTTCGTCATTGACTGGGCGCGCCCCCCAAGGACGGTTGCCATTTTCTTATTCCATCGGGGCAGATAAAGGGGCCTCAACGACAGCAAAAAAAAATCAAACCACTCACCTTTCTCCTCTTCTCGAAATTGATCAGGCCCCCCTGAAAAAGAGAGAGAGAGAGGACAGAGATTAAAACTCAAGAGAACGTCCCATTCTTTCACACCCAGGTTTCCAGGAGATTAAAGAGTCCGGCCCGAATCCTGTTGGCTTAGATGTCAATGAAGAGCCAAGGAACAAGCAACGTGAGCAGTTTATTGGGGTCCGGAGTAGCAAGAACCTGGCCAGAAGGAACCGGCATTGACATGTGCACGCTTCTGCGTTCAACAACGTGGGGGTTAATAATAACTGTGTGTCATCAAGTCAGTTCTGACTTAGGGTCTTGACTTTCCAGGATATTCTAAGTAAAGATATGCATAAGTGGTTTCCCATTCTTTTCTTCTGGGACGGTGCAGCTTGCCCAAGGCTACCCAGGCTGGCTCTTCTCCCAGGAGGCCCAATGGGGGGAATCGAACTCCCAACCTCTGGCTCTGCAGCCACTCAGCTATCTAAGCATCTTTAGCTCCGTGAGTTTGGTCTCTCGCGGCAGAGCCAGAGGTTGGGAGTTTGATTCCCAATGGTGTCTCCTGTGAGCAGGAGCCAGCCTGGGTAGCCTTGGGCAAGCTGCACATAGTCCCAGGGCCCCCGCAGAAGAAAAGAAGGGGAAATACGCTTCTGCGTTCAACAACGTGGGGGTTAATAATAACTGTGTGTCATCAAGTCAATTCTGACTTAGGGTCTTGACTTTCCAGGATATTCTAAGTAAAGATATGCATAAGTGGTTTCCCATTCTTTTCTTCTGGGACGGTGCAGCTTGCCCAAGGCTACCCAGGCTGGCTCTTCTCCCAGGAGGCCCAATGGGGGGAATCGAACTCCCAACCTCTGGCTCTGCAGCCACTCAGCTATCTAAGCATCTTTAGCTCCGTGAGTTTGGTCTCTGGCGGCAGAGCCAGAGGTTGGGAGTTTGATTCCCAATGGTGTCTCCTGTGAGCAGGAGCCAGCCTGGGTAGCCTTGGGCAAGCTGCACAAAGTCCCAGGGCCTCCGCAGAAGAAAAGAAGGGGAAACCACTTCTGAATATTCTTTAACACCCTGAAAAGGGTCACTATAAGGCAGAATTTGGGCCCATAATTAAAAATGTACAGAAGCTGCTTAAATAAACATCCTGGTTGAAGGCCATCAAAAACAGGCCGCCAGGGGGCAGTGCGACCTCTCGGAAACTGACGGGTTCGGCTTAGCCCACGTAGAAGAAGTCCCATGACGGAAATGTTCCACAGTGCCGTGGGGCATTTGTTTAACCAAAACCGCAGCTGCCTCCCCCAGTTACAAAAGGGCTATGGGGGCGAAGGAATACGGTCGTCGAGAGGAAGACGAGAGCAGGGCAGGGAGTACTTACATCGAAGCTGCTTAAATAAACATCCTGGTTGAAGGCCATCAAAAACAGGCCGCCAGGGGGCAGTGTGACCTCTCAGAAACCGACGGGTTCGGCTTAGCCCACGTAGAAGAAGTCCCATGACGGAAATGTTCCACAGTGCCGTGGCATTTGTTTAACCAAAACTGCAGCTACCTCCCCCAGTTACAAAAGGGCTACGGGGGCGAAGGAATACGGTCATCGAGAGGAAGACGAGAGCAGGGCAGGGAGTACTTACATCGAGGTAGTCCTTCATGGCGGTGTCCAGCATCACTAAGTCTGTGAGGAAGGTGCCCAGGTACGGGATGGTCCCTTGCATGACGCCCTTGAAGCAGGAGAAAAGGGGGTCGGTCATGATATCAGTGGGGTAGCTCTTCCCAATGAGGCCCAAATGGGCCTAATTTGGGGGAGGGCCACACGTTTTTTTTGGGGGGGGAAGACAGCACAGGCGAATCTGGAACACCATCCCAACTCAAGAAGGGGAAAAAAAGAGGTCTTTTTCTGGGCCAACAATCTGGAAAAACCTCAGAGGCGGCCATGGGGCGGGGGGAGGAGGTGTCTCTTGCCCACGGGACGAGCTTTGCCCACCGTGGTCCATGAGGGACTCCGTGGCTAGAAGGCCACTTCGCAGGACCGCCGAGGGGAAGCTACTCACCATCTCCCGCTGCTGCTGCTGCCGTTTCTGCGCTCTCTTGGGATTGATCTCCAGCGTGGCAAACTTGGACGTCCCCTCCTGGAGTTTCCAAGGAAAACCAGAGATAAGGAAGAGTCAAGGGAAGAGTCGTCTCCGCCAAAGTGGAAGAGCGTCTTTTTTCTCGCAACTGTGATTCAACAGTTGGGGTGTCTGGAAACCGTGACAATCTGCTCCAGACAATCTTTCTAACACATCCAGAGCTGGCTTCTGCCCGCTCCCATCCTCTAAAACGATTCCTATCAGGATATATTCTTTTCTACACCAAAGAATGGAAAGCAGCCACCAAGCAGGTCCGAACAAAGAAGGATGATGCCAAAATAAGATCTCAAATGATGAATCTTAGAGCCTGTCCACGCTAGCAGATAGTTATGGTATCTGGTTCCCTGATAGCATTGTTTGGCGTGGGGGAAAAGAACCTCGTCTATTTGAGTTTCTACTTAGAACGACCCATCCTTCCCCTTTAAGAGCTGGCCCACATCTTTCTGGCACCGGGCTAGGGCGTGCCATCTTTTTGGCCTGATTCACAGAGATGCAAAATAGCTCTTTGTTCTGCCTTCACCTAAGGGGGAACCAGAATTAAAATAGCACCGCACTGAAAATAAGGACCGGCCAGAGGGCAGCAAATTCCACCGTGTGGACAGGCCCTTTGTTGGCTCTCTACATCCAAGGCAGGAGAGATCGCCTTTCCAGATTCCCACAAAGCACGCCATTCCGTTCAAGAAGAGACCGACCGGTCACCGAGCCCTGCTTCAGCATAGCTGGCTGCAATGCTCCTCTTAGCAAGATGATTTTTAAACCATCTTAATCTACTGCACAAAGAACTAAAGGCTAACATTTGTGACGGCATGGACCCAAGCCACTCAGTGCTATGCGGAGCAGGCTTTGCGATGGAAAAATTAACATTTTTTTTGTGGTAGGGTGGCTACGATGGTATATTGTTAGTCCAAAAATATAACACTTCCTTAATTCCGTTAAAATATTTGTACACTTGCTGTTTTTAGCTTTTAAACCTTGTTTTTTTAATTGTTGTAACCTGTCTTGGGTGCTCTTAAGGGAACAGTGGTGTCAAAATATTGTACATAACAAAGTAAAGCAGCACATTAAATAAATATACTAAATCCTCCGCTGACGGAGAAAAGGGCTGTGCAATACGGAGAACGTGAGGGCGTAAACGAACAGAGCAAACTGTAGAAAGCTCATCTTTGGCTGCTGAAGTTTCTGCTCCAGAGAGAGAAAAGAGATAAGGCGAGGGAATCCCTCGGCTGACACGTTAGCTCTCTCTCCAGGGCGTTTCCCTCTTCCACTTATCTCCGGCCCTCATGGGGGATTCCTCTCCTGCCAAACGAGCCTAGGCACCACCCAAGCCTCTGAAACAAAGCAGGCACGCAGGGTGTGTGTGTGTGTGAGAGAGAGAGCTGTCAGCACACTCGGCCAGCCATAAACAGCTGCCTCGGCCGCCTTCCTGGTGCAGAAGTCTTAAAGGGGAAGGACAGGATTTGTCCATGGCAGCAGAAGAGGGTGGGGGGAGAGACAGGATTCAATCACCACCTTTTAAGGCACAAAAATTCAACAAGCGCCTCTTTCACCATCTCAGGTGAAGCCGCTTCGGGGGGGGGGGACACGATTTCCAGAACGGAACGGCAATCTCGGTATTTTTGAGACAAAAATTGCTCTCCCGGCTAGTCGCCAAGCTTGCTTCGGTTCCAGCAGGATCGCCAGGTGACGGCGACGAGATCCAAGATTACTTTGTTAAAAACAATTGGGGGTTTTGTTCAATGACCAAGAGTCACAGGTCCTTTGCCGAACTAATTGCAAAGCACTTAAGAGATCCTAACCCCCCACCCACTCATAAAAATATTTGGTTTGGCTTTTGCAAAATCCAAAGGTACTTAAAAAGTGACCCAAGAACTGATGGGGTGGGGGAGGGAAAGAGAAATGGCTTTCATGTTTGCCAAAATGCATATAACGGTTAAACATAGATTATAAAAGGAGATCTACATCGTCATCACCAGCTTTCTGGATTTCCTGGTGGCTTGGTAGCAGCTGTACCGCACAAACAACTAAATACTAACATTTATGATGGCATGGACCCAAGCCAATCAGGGCTATGCGGAGCAGGCTTTGTTATGAACTTGCAAATCCTTGCCAGCCCACCTTAAAGTTCAAACTTGGAAAGGAAAACCACATTGTGGGACTGAAGGCAGCCTACAAATGTTTTACAAATGTGGCAGGGGTTATCGGCTAGGTTCATAACATTTCAAAGAGGCTTCTGGCCTCCCAGAGAGAAACTGAGCAGGCTGCCGAGGGCCTCAAGCCATCTTACCTTAATGAGGAGCTCTCGACTCAAAGAGTGGTTATTCTCATCTGAAAAAATTTCGGACAGCTCTTGAAAAGTGCGGAAGCTCTCTCTGTCCAAGGGAAGAGGAACAAAAGAAAAATGAGTTTCTGGCCTGTTTCTGCCCTCTTCTGAATTGCCCTTCCCTTAATTCTAAAATATGGATCCCCATCTTGGCCGTCCTTTCGCAAACTTTCCTATAAGCTTCCGTATTAACAGACAATGGGGTTTGCAACGCACGCGTGCGCTGGGCGGCTTTTCCTTCCGACTCACCGCGACACCTCGTCCCACGTCTTCTTCAACCGGTGAACGGCGTTGCATTGCAGAGCCGAAAGAATGGCCCGGAGGGAGGAGAAATTCTTTAAGATCCGGCATTCCTGCAGGAGAACGAGAAAGTTTTCGGAGTGAGCCAAAATTAAAAAAGGATGAGAAGGACACTCAGAGCGGGAGACAAGAACATATCACGACTAAATTCTGTCTGTTTTTGCTCGAAGCTCTCTCTGCTGTACTCTGCCCCTCCGACACCGTTATTCTGTGCCAATTGATTATATAGGGGATATTGGCTCAGCGTTTCCCACGAGGGAGCCCCGTCCATTTCAACCTACCCGGGCGACTTCGATCCAGCGCTCCACCACTTTCGCTCTCTGCTGCGGCTTCAACGTCTTGTCCCCGAGGCAGGTGGCGATGACGCAGTTGGTGACGCTGTTGAACTGGGAGACGGTGGCCCGGATGGTGGGGGCCAGGTGCTCTTTGCCCTTCTTGTCCCGCTGGGACCAAATGCAACCCAAGCAGTGGTAAGGCACCACCTTCTTGAAGAGCTCCTGCAATGCGGGGTGGGGTGTGTACCAAAACAAGAGGTCAGTGTTGCAGAAAAGGGCTAGCGGCGAGGATCATAACGGGCAGCCCACCTAGAGCGAAGCAAGACACTCACCGCATCCATCAGCGTGAATTGCTCCGCTACCATTTCCAGAGAGAAGCTCAGGAAATCCAACTTGCCCTCGCTCAGTCCATTCTCCTCGTCCAACCTGAGCGGGCAGCTGGAATGGTCCACAGCTGGAAGGCAAGCCATCAGGACAGTGAGCAATCCAATCCCAGAGGGGGGGATAACAGGAAAGGAGATGGGCTATCAGGGAATCCCTGGCTTTGGCAGAGTAAAACAACGTAGGCAGAAACCCAGAGGTTGAGATTTTGGCGTTAGCACGGCAGAACAATTTTAGGTGGCAGGTCTAAAGAAAGGGGAGACCCCGAGGGAGGCAAAAATCCTGGCTGGACTCAACAGGAAGTGACTCCTTGCTTTTAAGGTCACCGTTCAGCAAAAGACCGCCCAGCGTCGGTCCCAGCCGACAGCCAAGGATGATGGGAGCGCTAATCCAACAACGGATTTCCCGCGCTTAGCCGGCTCGGAGAGAAAGGAAAAGGAAAAAGAAGGAGGGAGAGAAAGAGAAAGACAGACAGACAGACAGATGCTTCGTCGGAGGGGTTTGGAGGAACAGGCCAATGTTTGCGAGTGTGCGCGCACGCAGGGTAAATGAGCAGGACGGGGGGGGCAGGCTCACCGTCCGTCTCGGCCTCAGCACGCTCCTGTTGCTGGAACTGGGTGAAGAGGATCCGTGCGCGCCGCTCCAGGTCGGATCCGGGGATGTTGAGCCTCACGTAGACGATGAGCTGCTTGAGGCAGGCGTAGTCCGGCGGCTTCCGGAAGTCTTCGGAGTACTGGTCTAGCCAGGCTCCCAGGATGGACGAGACGGTGCTGGAAAGGAGAAGAGAGAGCGAGAGAGAGAGAGAGAGAGAGAGTGAGCGCAGGGGTTAAGCTCCGGGAAGAGGGCCAGCGGTCGGCAGACCCGGCTTTCTCCGTCCGACTCCAGAACGGCGAAACTGACAGCCTCCAGGTTGATGAAAATGTATTTCCACTCCAGGACTCCGTGATGGAAGAGAAGCCGAGTCTCCAAATCCCACAGGTACCCGTTGCCCCTCACCCCCTCTATTTGGGCCCGGGTGAGGCTTGAGTCCCTCTCTGTATGGTCAAAACCTCATGCTGACTAGAAACTTGAGGGAAGCATTGGAAAAGCTACCGCTCCCCCCTGCCCTCCCCGCCCCCGCTTATTGCTCAGGGGGTCAGACACTCACTTTTTCAGCTCCAGTCTCTCATCCACAGCGTGCCGAGGGTGGTCCCCATTTGCCTGAAGGTGAAACTTTCCGTATCTAAATGAAGCAGAAACAGCCTGTTTGCCTGGCTCTCCACGCGCCGGCTGGACACTTTCTCACGCTCATCCTCTGACTTGGACATGTAACGCCGATTCCATTTTTTAAATTGGTAACCCACCCTTCCACCCCCCTCTAAGGAGGGCTTTCGGCTGAACGAGGGAGAGGGACCCAGGTACATCCCGTGGGGGATCTGGTCTTACTTTGATGAAGGAAGACTGAAAGAAAACCGGACTGGCCAGGACTGAAAAGCTGGCCCTTCTCACCCGCCGGGGTGCCCGAAGCGAGGAGAGAAAGCTAAGATCGGAGACGTAGCTGAACCCAGAGGTTCTACGAATGGAGCAGGGGGTCCGTTCCCTCCCACCCCCACCCCCACCCCCTCGTACCTGTTCAAGAGGAGGTCCAGCACTTGCTTGGTGGTGGCAAAGGCTCGGTACGTGCACAGGAAGATGGTGACGTACGTGGAGTCGTTGCCTTTGAACGCCGAGACCAGGTACTCCACCAGCTTCTCCAGCGTCCCGGCCTTGATGGTCCGCACCTTGCAGGTCTCGTAGAGGTTTAAGGCCGACTCGTTCTCAAACTGCAAAAAAGGGACAAGAAGGCCAGGGGAGTCAGCCGCCCTGAGGATGCCGAGCAACCGCGTGTGGGCCCCGGGGCCAAGACTCTTGTGGCCTCTGGAAGACTCGCAGGTTGGGTTTGGCAAAAGCTTTCACGGACCGCAGCTTCCTTCCTCGGATGCATCAGGGGAGGGTCCCGGAAACTCTCTAGCGCCAGGCCCGAGTGCGAAATCCCTTACAGCCAAGACTAACGCCATCCTCCCTACCTAAAATTTCTAACAACAATGCTAATAATAATGGAGGGAAGCTGAACAACCCGTGTGAGATAACACGCACCGCGTTCTATTTTATTTATCCTAAATCATTAACATGTATCTTCTGATACAACGGAAGCGCAGGGCGATTCTCTGCACCTTTGGTTTTATAAAAAGAAAACAAATCAACTTTCTGCCCTGTATGGGGTCAAATACAGAACCAACAAGCAGACCCTGGCGAGCCAGAGGTTGGGAGTTTGATTCCTGCCACCACCAAACCAGCCCTCCTTGACTCCATGACGCATCAAAGGATGATGATGGTAAGTTTTTGCAACGTATGACATTCTTCATCTTGAGATGCTGTCTTCTGTCTGGCTTTGATGGCAGAACTATGATCCTGTTGCTCATTCAACCAAACTCCAAGGAATATTCACATTTGTTAACGCGTTCCATCCTTTCGCTCGGATCTTTTGAACATACCTCTCCACCACCCGCAAAAGCCAAACGAAATAAATTTTCCTGGGGAATTCAGCTTGCCACCTCCACCTCCCGCTCGTTAAAAGAGAAAACCACACGTTTTGAGCGTTCACCAAAAGGCCGAGCGGCTGGCACAGGGTTTTTTTTTTAATCTTTTCCCTCTAATTGGGCACAAGCCAAACATTTTGCAGATGGATCCACTTGAGGGGGAAATCAAAGGACGGCAGGGGGCATCGGAGTGTCCAGGCTTCCCCGCCGCTCTCAGCTCTGACTTGCAATGAGACCAGACAGCCGGAAAATGCCAATAATAATAGAAAAATTCCATCGCCGCATTCCAGTCTCTGGCCCCCCGCACCACCCCCATCGGACTACAGAAGCCTGTCACGTGGAACCAAGCGCAAGGTAAATGACACAAAATGTGTGTCACACAGGGACCCTGAGTTTTTCAACCCCCAGGGAGCACAGATGAGACGTACCTCGGCCACCCCCAAGCAAGACGGAAAGGCCTCACCCTGCAAAGCAGGATTCACACGCACGCACACTCTCCTGGCGTGCCAACATCCTCTGGCACACAAACCCTCAGGGACGAATGACAGTGGGAGCCAGAGAGTCTTACAGCTAAGACACTCTCCGCTATAAATGCACATTGATTAAAACGGCCTCTTAACAAGTCGTCTGATTGCCATGGATAATGAATTTCGCGGATACAAGGGAACAGGCTGACCGTCTCCAGAAAACAACATGGAAATCATCAGCGTGTCACCCGGAAGGGAAAAAACAGTTGTCCTGTACAGTGTCCAGAGGGTGGTCCAGAAGCCGACCGGCTTCCCTTTTCTTGCAAAGCCGCAAAACAAAGACCGCCATGTTGATCCGCAGCAGCAAAGCCACTTCCGGCCAGTCTGCAGCTGGAGAAAGAACCTCATTCGTAAAAAAATGCATCTGTTCATCTCTTGATTGGTTCGACTTATAGACGGCCCGTCCGGCCTGCAGCCCCTCTGGGCAGTTCGCGAACCGCAAGTCAAGCCAAAATGAACACGCCTTAAAACTGCCCACTCAAGCCACACACATCCCAATATCAATAAGTCATGAGAATATATTTTTGACGGGAAACTCCATTCCCCACCCTCTCCTCCAAGGACTGTAATGCTGGCCGCTAAACGCTGACGCCACCCAAAAGAGGGCCATTTGCTGTACGCACAGATATGTTCGTGGCCTGCCCTGCAGGGGTGTCAATGTAAGAAAAATCTCCAAAGGAACCAGAACACAGAGAAACCTTATACGAAATGCTAACTGGTGCAGCTGTTTTCACAGCTGTGCTTAAATTATTCGGTGTTTTTTCCTGCCCCCTCTGTCTCTCAGCATCTTTTCAATAATACGGATCCATGTTGCGTTCAAAAATATTTTTCCGCTCGCTTAGGAAAAAAACACCACGCCCTCAGTTTCCTAACCCGGGGACTGAGCAGATGGCTCTCTTTCTCCAGGGCAAAAAGGGACCATCAGCAGAGCGACCTGCATGCAGTCTGACGTCCGGCATAGTATTATATGTTTTTTCTTAACATCGAAACCAAGTTCCTAGTCCTTAAGGACGGCAACCAAGGTGGGGCTTCCGTAGGCAATGTGCGGAATCACAAAAGGAGCTGGTTATTCGGTAGGATTTCCAGAGAAACTTGGTTTTCTGTATCCTTCCAATACTCACGTCCCTCTTCACATTTACGTAATTGCATGGGGTCAATTCTGATTTATGATGACCCTTTTTTCCAAGCGTTTCTAGGTCTAGATGAATATTCAGACGTTGTTGGCCCTTCCCTTCCACTAGGGGGCGCCCTGGCACAGTGCAGCTGGCCCAAGGCCACCCTGCCTGGCTCTTCTCTGGGGGGGCGCAGTGGGGAATTTGAACTCCCAACCTCTGGCTCAACGGCTAGAGACCTAAACCACCACGTTCTCCAGCCAGCTGTGTGGTGTGTACATATCACATTTCCAATGTTCAGGGGAGGAAAAAGAGACTTGGTTACAGAATCTCGGCTTAGATCCGGTTTAAATTTGCTTTTTTTTGTTCCTGCAGCCCCGAACCATCACTTACCCCTAGCCATCGCTGTCCTTTGTTGGCCGTGTGGTGAAGCTGAACTTTCCGGAGGGAGATGCTATAAATCACACCGTCTTCCACCTCTTCTCCAATCTCCTGGGTGGAGCTCTGGAAAGGAGACAGAAAGAAAAAAAAGGGTGGGAGACGTTCATAATAATGACACACTTATTCCGCCCCCTCGTCGTTATCCAAATAATATACCCAAAAGCCGGCGATTTGAAGAAGGAGGGGGCAAAGCGCAAATATAGACCCCATTCCTTCGATATCGGGGACAAAATTGTATTTCCCCAGGATATCCCAAAGCACCAGGTTAATATAGGGGCTACACAACCCGTTGGGTGACCCACAGACCCCTCTGTCAGTTAAAAACACACCGCAGTGGCCCACTCACCAAAGTCTGCCACCTGAGGCAGCCGCCTCGCATTTTGAAGGTTGTGCGGTTCACGGGGTTGCCGTAAGTCTAACAACAGCAACAGTGGCACTTAAGACAGGCAGGAGACCAACATCTTCACAAGCCCCCCCAAGATACACCTGTGTCTCTCTCTCTCTCTCTCTCTCTCACACACACACACACACACACACACACACACGTCACAGAGACTTTCTGCCCCCTTGTTTACTTAACCTGGGTCAGTCATTTATTTCCTTTTGCACGTTTCTGGAAGGGACGCAACAATACACCTGATAGGATTATTTCCTTTTGCACGTTTCTGGAAGGGATGCAACAATACACCTGATAGGACTTTGTGTCTGTCTGTGTGTGTGTGTGTATTCGCACACAAACAGCAGCTGTGTGTGTGTGTGTGTGTGTATTCACACACAAACAGCAAAAGGAGAGGTCAAGCCTGCGCTGAACAAACAGACCCACCCAAATCGTTTGGATATCGACCAGAGCTCTTTTTTGGGGTTGCCATCCCCGTTTCCAGAAAACTCATCTCTAAAAAATAGCGGCGAATGGTCCCACCGTCCTCCCGCTTTCCGAACAGAGCGCAGAAAAACAGTGAAAGGTTCGGGTAATGCAGAAAACGGCAGCAGAAAACCCCCAGAAAAAGACCTCACCTATTCCAAAATCTGAAAAAATAAAAAGCTCCTTGTATGGAGACGCCATGTAAACAACTACGGGGACTAATCCGGCTGCATTCTTTGGGCTACGGATTCAAATCACCCGTGACCCCAAACACGTTCCAGCGGTCTGTGCTTTGGAGGACGCCGACACGTGCGCCTCGGCCCTCGTTCCCGGCAATAAATGTAATAAACAATAAAATTAGGTAACAGAGCTGGACAAGGAAGCATTCTGAATCCTTGAAAACAGCGGGCCAATGTTAACTATCATTTCTCCTTGGAAGAAATAATTCACGTGGAAGGACTCAAAGGCCCATTTTGAATTGTCAAGTCCAAGGATGTATGGGGCAAATTATGATTTTAGCTCTGGTTTTATTTTGTATCAGAAAAGTGGAACGATTACAGGGCAATCTCTGAGATGTCCATTTACGATTCGGTCCTGCATCCTTGTTCTTATGCATTTTCTTATTTAAGCATACACCCAACAGAATATGGTCAACCTTCACCCTACAATAATCACTCATCAGTATAGGGCTGCACGCTTGCAATGCGATGCTATATGCACAAAGCTGGGGGTGCAGGTTCCATTAAATTCAGTGGACTTACTTCCGAGGAGACACATACAGGACGCTCACTTCTTTCGAAGCCATCAAAAGCTAGCGGCTTTCGTAACCCATCTTGTAACTAACTATTAATGCCCCGAATCGTCTAGAAAAAAACATTTTGCTTTCTGCCAACTCCATAAATTATCTGATGATTAAGGACATGTATGTAATACTTCCATTTTTCATCTAATTCTTTCTCCTTTTGACACTTAAGCACAGGATGACACGAAGTATTGCTTCGTTTAAGACATACGCCCCATACAGTGTGAAGTACAGCAGGACTCGGTATCCGCTGATTCATTTATCCACTGCCTGAAAAGTACAGTACTCCCCTCCCGGATTTATTTACTGGAACTGGGCCATAGAGGGAGCCAGAGGCTATAATGTATAGGGGTAAAAACGTCCACGTTTTTCGACATCCGTGGGGAGGGGCGTGGAACTGATCTCCCACAGATAGTGGGGTCCCACTCTATTCCCTTGGGCCCGTGAGGAGCAGATTGCCTTTTGAACTGTCTCTTTTTTTAATGTTAAAACGGCCTGAATTTTATCCAGAAAAGATGAGCCAGATTGGCCCCCTCCCAAAAAAATCTGATTTTCTCCATCTGTCCCCTCCAGTTCAGAAATGTTATCTCAGGTGCGAGACCAGGTTTCCAGCAGCTGCCTCTGTCTCTGCTTTGTTTGCCTTCTTTCGTTTCTAAAACATGTGGCGATCCACAGGGGGGGTGGAGGAGAAGGAGCATAACAGGAAGAGAGAGAGGAAGGCGTCGAATTTTCCAAAGAAACACAACTTTGAAGCCACCCAACGAAGTTTCGCATCTTGGACGTGCCCGCCTTTCACACTTTCGGCTTTCCATTTCTGCTAAACGGACCCGGTTTGTAAACTCCGAGGAAAGATGAATGAGAAAAGCAAGAAAAACGGGAAGGAAACAGAGTGAGCGAACTCTTTTTTTTCGGAACGGGGCCGGGGACTTCTTCCCCTCCCTGCGGCGGCCCGGGGACCTCGTGAGCTTCAGCTGACAGCTCAGATTGCTAAGTCAACTTTTCTATTCGTCTGCCTCCGAGCTCCCCGGTCGTAATTTGTTGCTGATGCAAGCATTGGGTCACCGCAGAAAAGTTCATTAAAAGCCATGTTCTGGGAAGAGCGGAAAGATGCACGAGGCGAGGGACCTGCGTGTTTTCTTTCTTTCTTTAGAACATCTTAATTCATCTCCTCCTAAAAGGAAGTCTAATGTCGGACTCTGGACAAAGCTTGCTAACTCATCATTAGGGAGAGTTGCTTTATGGACGTGTTGTCCATGAAGGAAGGTTCCAACTTCAGAGGCAGTCCCGCTGGACAAACGACATGCCGCGGGCGAACGAGAAGGGTCCCACCCTTCTCCTGGCATCTGGCTTGGGGGCAACTGGAAATCAAGTCCCAGAACTGTGTGGAAACTTCTCGAAGAATCCTAGATTCATGGAGTGGGAAGGGGGGCCTCGAAGGCCATCAAGTCCAACCCCCTGCTCAAGGCAGGAAATCCATGTCAAAGCAGATCGGGCAGATGGTGGTCCTGTTTTCTATTGAAGGCCTGTATCATTGGAGCACTCTCCACCTCCTGAGGTCATGGGCTCCGTCATCGTACTACTTTTGCCTGAGCGGCAGGAAATCCATGTCAAAGCAGATCGGGTAGATGATGGTTCTGTTTTCTCTTGAAGGCCTCCAGCGTTGGAGCACTCTCCACCCCCTGAGGTCATGGGTTTCGTCGTTGTACCATTTTTGCCCGAGAGATCTGTGCAACACCATCTTGCAAAACTGGACAGGTCTTCTTGCTTTGGTTTGAACACCCTTCCGAATCGCTACAGGCGTTGTACCCAAGCAGACATTCGATGCCCGCCCTTCTGTTTGCCCAAGTTTGCGGTTTCATAGAACCTGATCCAAACATTTCATTCTGGAATTCATTTCATTTGATCGGATTAAAAAAGTAAAAAAATTCGTTCTGCTCCGAATCTGGACCAACGTGCCCTTTATGCACCCCTCCCCATAGGATAAGGGCACAACGGCATCTAGAATATGGGGTGAGGACATCTCAGGGAACCCCACGGGTGTTCTTAGTCTGTCCCCTTGATCACACAACGCCAGGCCCTAAAACCACGCGCAGTGGCTCAAAACCACGAATCTGTAAAGAAATCCAGATCTGTCTTTATTCGTCTCGAGCGGTGCAGAATCCCCAACTGTTGGCGCACATGGAACAGAGGCAAAATCAAAAGCCAATTAAAACGTCAAGACGATCAGATGAGTTTTTTGAGATGTCCGCAGGAACCCTTCCTCGGCTTCAGCTGTTGTCCAAGGGGTCAAGGATTCACAAACTGGTTAGGATTCAGTGATGTTCCAGTCCAGTGTTTCTGGAAGTCCAGGCATTGCTGGCTGCATGCTTGACCCAGAGGATGTCCACACACAACGTTTTCCCCGCTCTTCAGGGAGGCCGCTTCGATGTCCCTCGGCATTCCAGATTAGACCTAAGCCCTCCGCAGTCAACAAAGCCTGGTGGAGTCGCCAGCGTTCCCCAACAGCTTGGCTCCAGGAGACAACTTAAGAGGGTTTGGCGAGACACGATTACCCACTTAGGCAGAATGACGGTGCAATTTCTCCTGGAGAGCATAAACCGTCAGTTGCGAAGAGGTGAAAGTTCACTTTGGAGGGTCTGAACGACATAAATCACACGGGCAGGGTAAAAAGCTCTTGGCATCGCGACTCAAAGTGTCTTGTTTTGTTTTTTTGCAAACGGAGAGCAAAGGGTTGGCCGGCAGATCGGTCTCCCAAGCGACCTGTTCCAAAAGGGGGCCAGAGTGAAGAAGGTTTTCTTCCAAACTTCAGGACTCGCCAAAGGATTGTCAATCTCGCAAAAACAATCAATCGCTGGAAATCAGAGGGAGGTGGATTTGCCGTAGCTGCAATGACAATGCCCGCATTCGTCCCAAGGTATCTTTGATTGACATTACAGAGAGCTGTTTCAAAATGTGGTTTTTCCCCCCATCCCCACTGGCACATAAGAAATGAAATGCAGCAACACTTTGGATCACTATGTTGTTAGTTGTCAAGTCACGTGCAACGTATGGCGACCCCGTGAATGAGAGATCTCCAAAATGTCTAGTCCTTAGTAGCTGTGCTCAGGTCTTGCATACTCAAGCTTCCAAATTCTTTAGAGTCAAGTCCGTCTTGTATCTGGTCTTCCTCTTTTCCTGCTGTCTTCAACTTTTCCCGACATTATTGTCTTTTCCAGGATGTGCCCTTCTCAGGATGTGCCCAAAGCAGGACAGTCTCCGTTTCAACATCTTTGCCTCCAGAGAGAGTTCAGGCTTGATTCGCTCTACGACACACTTGGGAACATCTGGGTGAGAGGAATCAAGGTCTCCCCAAATCCTCAGACTGTGGGGCGGAGGAGGAAACCCCAAACGGTATGACTT